GGTGACATCCGGGAAGAAAGGGATCTAAACAGATTGGTTTGGTCCTAGTGTTTGTTGTTTCTTCAAAGTCTCCCCCCCCCCTCTTTTTTTCAAGAGGAGAGAGTGGTAGCGATGAAAACTGGTTCACGTTGTCTTAACGCACTTGTGTGATGTTGTGGAGAAATGGTCTATATGCATATGTCCACAGCACACTGATGATAACTTCTTAGAACTATTGAACGAAGGCATTTAATGTTGTGAGACAAATGCATGCATGCCCTTAGTATTGTTACCGACACAAATACTTAAAAGAACTGTGGGCTAAGTTCGCTGTCGTGTTTTTAAAACAACTATTACGTTTAAAAAACATTGGACGAAGTACAATTTAGTCGTTTGTGCTGGAAGTGTTTGTTTTCAGTAAATAGATAATTTCTCTCATTACTCTCGCCTTTACTCTGATTATTAGCGTTATTGAGTTTAAGTCTACAATTGTCTGTCGAAGAGTCCTCTAAAGTGATGGTCACTGCACCACATGTTCTTTCGTTTTGATGGTTTTATACCTTTGAAATGTATGGCTACTTACCAAACAAACTAATCAAACTTACAAGAGATGCCATTTCTTTTTACTGAAGTCATTTTGAATGCCCTTTCTGCACAATACGTACATATTACGTACAATCAATGATTTACGTATCTTGTGTAAATTTTATCACCTTTTGGACACCCCTAGGGAAAGCTTTATAGCAAGGTCAGTAAATACTTTATTATACGTTATATCAATTGGCCGTTTTAAAATCACCTTGTTACATCACCAAGACAGAAACATGTCCTATCACTAAGTATCACTTAAAACATGAAAAGTTAGCCTTCAATACTTGATATATATATAGATCTATTTCAAATCACGTTGGTAATCTTTTTTTAATCCCTTAATCCTCTCATAACACCATGTAATCCATCGGCTCATATCCCTTTCCTTTCAACAATGTGTGCTTGAGGTATACAGCTATTGATGCAGACTTGCAATGTTGAATTCTGCACATTCCGATACATGTTTTGGTATTTCTAAATTACAGATGTTCATAAGCGTTCTACCTGGTATCTGTACCACTACGTTTATGATGTATATCATTAGTTGCTTTGTAATTAGGGACGATAGCTGCCTCTCACTCGAAGAATGGTCCTCACCGTGTTGAAGGCATCTATGATCTAATGCAATTTCGGTACGGCAAACTAAAACATAATCCTGATGAGGAAAGTTGTCTAATATTAAAATTTACTGTCATTTCTTAGCACATTTTCGCCATATTTTCCTACTTCATGCGTGTCAAATAGCCACAAAACAAGCTAGCTACGTGATGCGTCTACGTATGTTTTGGGTGCCACCCACAAATAGCTAGAACCAGCCTACGATACGAAACAAGCAACAGCCGTTTTCCGACAGCAACATCGCATTTTTGTTTCAATTCACAGATATCAATATGCTATGGAACAGGTCTGATTCAACCTACATGTAGTACATTAAAAAATGGCCAGAAAATCGACTTTGAAAATACAGTTTTGCCGCCATGAAACTGTAACAGATGCCTTTAGAAGTGAAAGTGTTAGGATGATGAGGGTGAAAGTTTGTGAGTAAACCCCAGGCGGGCGCGCCAGACTGACCAGGTACACACTGGGCCGGTCAGCGGCTTGGGGAGATCAAAGGCGTCCGAGTGGTCAATCGGCGGTCATCATTTAGTCCTTACGGCCTTGTCCG